TAAAAAATAAAATTTTTTATTCATTGACTTTAAAAGAGTTTAAAAATTTTTCATTATAGTCTTAAGACATGAACTTTTCAATATAATTTTAGAATACAATCAGCGACAAGCGCATAAAAATTATATGCAATTATTAAAATTACTACAGCTCTGTTGTATTCAAACTGTGACGTGATTTGTATACGCCGTCGAATAAAATTACATATAAACAAATTTCAAAAAAAAAACAAATTAACCCACTTTAAATTACATTTAAATTTTATACTAGCTATTGGAATTACCTAACCAAATATACGTTATACTCGCGCTATTTAATTCATACATCAAACAATTTTGATTTTTTGATTTTATTGAACGCGTACGTCTTTTTATTTTTATTTTTTTGTTGTCTAATTGAACTTGAAATTTTAATTTTTTTGATTTCTTGCCACAAAATTTAAATTGAAAGTAAAATGTTTTTTTTTTTCGTTTTTCAATAATAAAAACTCGTGAACTTGAATTATATTTTGTGTGTATGTTTGTAAAGTATGTATATATTTTATTTAAATTAATAATAAAATCATGAAATCACCTGTAGTTTTTTTAATTCAATTTTCTGCACTGAATATAATTTAAAGAGCACGTTTGGTTTTTTAAAATTGAAATAATTAAACGCATGGAATAAATAAGCCGCGTAATAAAGCTTAAACTTCAATATAAATAAATTTATACATTAATAAATTCCAGACAAACACGTGATGATTTGATTTTGTTCACAATTTTTAAGTCATTATAATTTTGAGCCATTTTGAACCTATTTTTAAGCCAACTTTTAATTGACTGAAATTGTAAGTTCCAATTTAAAAATGTTGTCGCCAAATTTTGATTTTCGTCTAAAAATAATAAAATGGAATTTAAAATTTCATGATTTAATTAGATGCTGCTTTAATTAGAAAATTTTGTAATCACATTAAATTTATATGGGACCAAAAAAATTGCGTCAAAAATTAAAACCATACAATTTCTCACTAACAATACAATTTAACCAAAGACCTGTCTGTTTTGTTCATAATTTTTCAATATCAAACAAATTTCAATTAAATTTTTTATAAATTTTCATACAAAAACTTTAAATATAGAAGTCCAATATCATATACATACATACATACATATAAAATATTAAATGGATTTTTATTTTGTATACAAATTAGTTTGGTATTTAAAACTATATACTTGCTACCTTCTTCAGTTTTACTGACCATAATTTTCCTGACAATAATTTCAAGGTTACTTAACCACATATAAATACAAACATTGTGGTTATTTAAAACTATAATTTTTTTTGGGTTTTATCTACATACATATTCGTGTATGTATTTTATACTATGCATATGCGGTTGTACATATTTTTATTCTGATGAAGTATAATTTTTTTAATGAAAAACATCCTTTTTCATTAAGGGATGACAAATTTTGATGTGGGTTTAGAAGTTTTCAAATAAAAATATATCGTATATAATATAAAAATGTCACGAAATTAAAATTTAAATTGAAAATTCAAATATTATATTAAGTCTGTCGTATAAAATTATAAACAGAATATGAGAATATTTTTGTATATAATGCAAGCCTATAAAATATATTCGTTATTTGAAATTCGTTCTCAATTAAAGTTATTAAAGGAGTGAATTTTTAAATAATACTAAACTCAACTTCATTTATTCATTTACAACTCAAAATATGCTGAATATACTCGTAATACTTAGAACTTAAAAATTTAAACTTAAAATTAATTAAGTATGAATTATTTATTTTGATACAATCATACTTATATTGAATTATAGATAAACTTTTCATTTCAAAATATAAATTGAATAACAAAAATTACTTTTAAATACCTACATGATTAAATTTCATATTAAAATACAAACAGACAAAACCAACTGTTGGCGTCTTCAAACTAGGTTTCATTTCTATACAACTTAGTCTATAGGAGAGGCATGTAAATGGTGGCCGTACACCACCACTATGCGATACGTCAAACTTACTTCTTAATAAATTCTAAATCCTCTAAAACACTACAGTTCTCATGATTTTGTAGATAAAATTAAAAAATTTGGAATTGATGCAACAGTGCTTCCTAAATTATAATTTGTAAAATATAATAAATTCAAGCCCAACATCATTTAAAGATAGCAATTTAATTTGCTGGAAAAATTTAACCCGCGTTAAGTTTAGATCATAATCAAGATCTTCGTAATTATTACGTAAACTCAATGTAGACAAGTCCTCTTGCAATAAATTCATTGAAAATAATTAAAGAATACGATATTTAGTTAAAATTTCCAAATAATTTCTCATTTTATAATTATATAATACTCATTTAATAAATTATCTGAATTTTCTACAGGTGTACAATTGCATCACTCACATTCCAAAAACAATACTTACATGCTATCATATATGTAGACTAAAAGGAAAACAACAATAAAATAAACAAAAAGTATAATTTTAGGCGGACCAAATAAGATAAATGAAATGTTCAAAAGCCTGTAAATACCTTAATCATTTTATTTATTTAATTTTTTATATTATTTTTTTTTTTTGTTGAAAAATTTAGATCCCTATTTAAATAGAAACCATCCTTAGATTATTAAATAAAATTGTAATCCTAAAACATATAATAAAGAATTCGACTAAATACCAAAAAAGAGAAAAAAATCTGAGTTTTGATTTTTTGATTTGTGTGTTTTTAAAATTACAAAAAAAAAAATAAACTAAAAAATTTAAAATGTTACTTGTTTCAATAAAAAACGATATTTCGTCGACTGCCGAAATCTTATACTTCTTAAGCAAACATGAATACCAAAAATAGTGCTCAGACGACGATTTGTGTATTGGAACGACTTGCAAAATGGAAATTAAAGCATTTTTTAAGAAGTTAAAGCGATATTCTATTTTGAAGAAACTAATGAAAATAAAAATTGCTAAATACGCCAAATATTAGGTTATTCCTTATTATAAACGGCGTGTGGCGTTGTCATAAAACAATGCATTGTTCCTCCAAAATTCTGAATTGAACTGCTCCGCAATATTCAATTTTTGTTATATAAATGTCATATTATAATGTAGGTAGATATATTGTATAGAATTTTTTAGACATCCACATGCCGCATCCATAATGTAGTTGTTTTGCAAAAATCTATATTATTATCAATGTGTCATTATCTTTTAGACTCAACGAAACCCAAAGAGCCCGTAAATATTTTCACCTATTTGGTTAAAACAAATTATTTATAAAATTTCTAATCGATTACAAAATGAAAATTTGCAAAATACTTAAAATTTCAAGTTTATATCGTTAATATTTTAATTTTTTTTGTTCTATTTCGGTAAATGCGCCTATCACGAATGGAGCAACTTACTTTTTAACCAATTAAATAGCGAAGATCACTTTACAGACAAAAATTATTTAATTCCACTTCTTACTTTCGAACTATTAGATTTACATTTTGTACTATTCAATTACAATTTTGCCTAACATCTTCCAGCAATTTAGAAGAAACATTCGTCCCTCTCTATATATATATTTTTAAATATTTGCAAAAAAAAAAATTAAATAGAAACCTTTTTTTTTATAATAGAACAAAATAAATAGAGAAAATTGTAACACAACAAAACAAAAAAGGTCTCCTCCTAAAAAAATGATTTAAAATTCTCTACGGTATGTTTTATGGGTACAAAATAAAGAATTATTTTTGCAAAAAATAAATATTTTGATTATTTTTATACCTTTATTTACAGGACAACAAAACAAAAAAAAAAAATAAAAAACAAAAGGTACCAAGCTTTTGAACCCATTAAAGTGAGAAGACGTAAAAGCTAATAAAAGAATTGAGAGACAAAGGGAAAAACATTAAATCAAGCATAAAATAAAAAAGGATCGCTGATTAAAATTTTTATTTAAAAGAAATGAGAAAGGAATAAAAATAACGAAATAATTATTTAAACAGCTTACATATTTTGGTAAAAGCAGTTTTGTTTTTTTCGTTGGAAATTATTACGCATGTAATCAGAGTTCTTTGATGAAATAATTTACTGTATGTCTTGCATTAAAATGTCCTTGAAATCAAAAAAAATGTGGTAGAAAACCAATGGTTTGTAACCAACACTTGAGTTGTTTCCAAAAAGACATCACATTTCATTTTAACAATTTGTTATGTTAATAAAAGAATTATTTCAACATTATTTTTACTTATAAAAGGATAAAAAAAGAAAGGGCATTATTTGTGAGAATTTTTCGAAATTAGTACGATTAAAAATTTTTTGAAAACAGTTGTTTTAAATTAAGTTATTTGATCATATGTATGTAAATAATCGGATTTGTTCTAAAAAATTCAAAACATTTTGAAGAATTATCTGTGGCAAAAAAGCAAGCCATTTGTGTCAGAGTTGATTTTTTTAAGTAAATCAAATTTACTTAAAAATACGATTTGTTTCATTTTCATTTTTGTAAAAATTTGAAGCCCTCTTACTTAATGCGAAATTATAGAACGTAGGTGCAACTTTTTATTCTTCTAATAAACTTTGTGCATGCCTTATAAAAATTGTCAGATTTTCTAAAAGTAGGATTTAATTAAATTTTTTGAACACATTCTTTTTCAGTTTAATTTTACTGCGTTAGAACAGTCTAAATTAAACCAAACGAACTAGATTATCGATTTGAATGAGGAGGATTGAAATGTTACAGTAATCGATTATCTTGAAAATGTGTTTTGGCAGCTTTCTCTTACATTAAATATTACCTGTCCTAATGTTTACAAATTTTGGAAAGGAATCGTTATGGTAAAATTAAAAATATAATATTTTCTTAAGATTTCAGAAAGTGAAACATTTATGGATCGAATATAGGCAACATTCAACTACAACTAGTAAAATGGAATTGGTTTTTGTACTATGAAATTCCTTTGAATTTTTTCTTGCATTCTTTATAACATAAACCTCTTTATCACATCAATCAACATTTTCAACTTAGCACTTTATAACAAACATATTTGCATAATTAGTGAACAAATATTTATAATTATTGCTTTTCAATTGAAATTCAATATGAAATTTATTTAAATTCAAAATAATTAATTTTTAATTAACAAAGTATACAAATTGATTTCAGAATAATTAATAACAATAAAAAAAAAAAATTTAGGACATCACCAAGAACTCAACTCCTTTAGTTTTATGCATGCATTCGCAAAATGCATTAGCGGCTTCACATCTATATAATAGATAGTAAAAAAAATACATAAATATGCAAATTATTTTCAAAATCCTCTAAATAATGTTTTGTATACGACAGTGCAATAGAATAAATTTTGTGACAGAATAGTTTAGAAATTAATATGTTAATTTGGGCAAAATCCAAAGTTTAAGAAGTGTTAGTTCGGAATTAGTATCGGACTTAAACTAGAGAAACCAATTTAATTAAAAATTTTTTAATTTTAGTGAAAATTTTGAATATTAAATTTTTGCTCGAACTCAAAATGATATACTATGAATTCAGAGTTATGAAGGGAGGATGTGAAAGGAGGATCAAAATGGAAATGATTTTTTTGACACTTAACTAAATAAACATTTAAAAATATATGAAACTAATTATGTATAAGCATTTTCCAAAGAAGAGAAACCATTAATTTAAATTTATCACACCCAATACTTAAACTACAGGTGCGCTTTTAAAACAGCATACGTTACAACCCAAAAAAAAGTCTAAAACATACTTGTCTGATCCAGAATACTGGTTACAATCGTCAATAACATTTCCAGCTGCTTCATAATTATCATCAGTAATAACACCAATCATTCTACCACCTTCTAACATTTTTTCTTTATTTATTTTAACGTCATCGGTAAGCTAAAAAGTTAAAATCCGATTTATACTCGTAACCATTTTACTTATTTTAATTAAAATTTCAATAATTTCAATTTTATTTGTTACCAATCCAAATTTATCCATAACACAAGCTTTAAAACATTTTCCAGCTGGATCAGAAATTGGTTCATGTTTCTTAATTTTTGATAGAAGTTCTACAAATAAAAAAAAAATATTATTAATGAGTTGAAGTTTAAAAGTGCAGTCGGGACTTTATTGAGATTTTCAATGAAAAAAATTATTCTTTATATATTTTTTGCTTAAACACTAATTTTTTCTCTAAGCAACAACTTAAAATAAGATTAATATAATAAATTATTCTCAAATCACACGAAAATAATATGTACTTTTGTGCAAGTGCACAATACGATTGCCTCATTGTTTTTTGATGGCTCAGATAAAAATTTAAGAAGTGTCAACTTCTAAATTAATGTCTTTGTCAACTGTATTCGCTTATAATTCCGAAAAATCCATGCCATTGTTCAATAAGTGAGACATTATTCTTTCGATTGTCTTCCGAATATTAGTGTTTGAAATTTTACTTGTATTTCAATTGCCATTTTACTGTTTTTTTTTTGCATTTATTAAATAATCCACTTAGTTTTTCCAGTACATATTTTTTTTAATCCTTTTAAAATTCTTGGGCTTTCCCGTAGCTTCTTACCTTCTGAAATATTTGTTTCAGCAACGCAATCTTTTACAGCTGACATAAAAGCAGCTTTAATTTCTTCTGGCATTTCACCAGATACTCTTTTAATGGGTATGGCGGAAGCAATAATCACAAATAATACTATAATTGATTTCATTTTAAATTTAATAAAAATATTATTTTTTTAATCTTTAAGAAAAATTTTGTTATGCAGTATTATAGACTTTACCGTACAACTAAAAAAATTATTATCAATTCGGGGATTTATATATTCTCATCAAAATTAATTTATGAATTAAAAATTTAATTTAAAATTGTCAAATCACGCTTACAAACTATACTTACAAATGTTGTACTAAAATACTAAAATTATATAGTAAAAAGCTTTAGAATTTATATATGGTTCTAATATTAACTTTTATGCAATTAAAGTTTTTGACAAAATAACGCTAAATTTCATACTTTGTACTTAAAATATTGAAATATCGAGTACAACAAGCATACATACATAAATTAAATAGTATAATTATACAGTTATTAATTAAATTTAAATGAAATCTGATAAAAATAAGAATAGAAGTAAAAATTTTTTTGCTAATGTCATTAAAGCAATGTTGCCGTTTGTAATTTAAACTGTGTACATTTATAGCAGAATGTCATAAGAAAAACTTCATGAACTATTTCAATGCAGTTTTCAACGATTTTTCCTGAAAACCGTCCAGTTTACAACCGAATTATCTCGAAAATGGGACCCCGCACAAAAAAAATATTAAAGGATAATTTGAAGATCAACTCAAAATCTTTCAAATAGGATAAATTTTTATCTTATTTTTTTTTTACTTATTTCCTCAATAACATTTTAAGTAATGCCTCGAATGGCACATTGAGCTACTTTTAACTTTTGATTGCATATTAATTTCTTCAAATCGATTAATAATTATGGAAACTATAGCTATTTAAGTAATTGATCTTTTTGTCGAAACCAAAAATTTTCGGCTGGGATAATAGGAATTAAATATTCATTTGCAGCCCTCGCACCAGGACTGAATTTTTTCATAAAATTGTACTACCTTTCTGTCACCGAGTTACTCTTCACTATTTCAATTAAATTGACATAATCGGGAGCTAATATATATTCAAAATGCAGTAAATGTACTGACTGTTTTTACAGAAAGCTAACGACAACAAATTTCCAATACTACATACCTATTATATTTCAAATTATATATAATTAAAGGCTCATCAAGATGACTCAAAAGTGACGATATTAACGATTTCCAAATAGTATATGAATGTGACAAGAATTTAAATGGAACAATTAAAATGTTCGCATGCATACTCTTTTTTTTGAATTATGGGTAATTATGGGTTACGGGAAAAATATCGATAATCATCGTGAGATTTCACATTTAAAAAAAAAATTATCATGTGTTGTCTCAGTATTATTTTGTCCACACTAAAATCAAATTCTCTGAATGAATCTTTTATAAAATTGTTTATTTGCTAAAATCATAGAGAACAACAATTAAATAATTGTCACTGCAATATGGTGCATATTCCCATAGTGGATTTTATTTTTCTTTTTGCATTTTATCTTAGATTTATTCTAAATTGCATGCAATCATAATAATCATGCAATATATTAATGATCAATGAACAATAATTTTCTATCACCTAAACTATTATAAAAGATAATTTATATTGTGTAATCTGCACGCTTTAATGCATACCTAGCAGTATTAGCATGTTAAATTAGACGAATTCTGGTTACGAAAAAAATTCTTAAAAATGTTTTTAATTGTTTATTATTTAATGCAAATAGAGTTGCATAATAATAAAACAATTGAATAAAATCAAACGTAATAAGTCAATCACCTAGATAGGCAAACATGTTAATAATTTTAAATAAATTTCTAATATTTTTCCTTAAAATTAAAATTATTATTCTCTTAATATCACAACATCAATGTTTTGCTATTGCAAACTTTTAGGGGCAGAATAAATTAATAGACAAATTAATTTAATAATCGAATTAGGTGGTTTTGGATACGAAATCGTATTCCTGACAAGATGATGCTTAACGTAACAATTTGGTAAAGCTGAAAGTTGCAAAATAAGAATTTTTTAATCAAAACAGGACGAACAACATTGAGAACTCCAAAATTTGTATAAACCTCTTTCATCTACGCCATATTTTATTTCCTAAAAATTTCTTAATTTTCCTTTGATATTTTAACATTTTCAACATAAACGAAACATTTTTAACATTTTAACTTAAACGAAAAGCATAAGAATATGCAATATTTAAATTTAAAAATTCTGTAAACATATAATAATAACATACTCTTTAAAGATCTTTAGTAAGCACTCAACCACAACATAAATTATTATTTATGTACATAAATTACTTATGACATTATTCAATTACATTCTCAGCCTTAATTAACGTCATGCTTTAAAAAAACTGCTATTACTTTTCTTTGTAATCAATCGATTTTCTTGTCTAGAAACATTGAAATAATTCATAGAAGCGTAACACGTTAATACACAAAAGAAGATCCGTTATTATTTTCTCTTTTATATTTCTTATATGCCTATACGTGATATAATTTAAAGAGACAAGCCCTCTTATGTCTATCTCAAAATACATTAAAATTACATTCCCTCCAAAAAAAAATTCCTCCCCTTTTTTACTTTTACAAAATATTACAAGTAATAATTTTACATTATCACTTTAAACAAACTTATTAATTATTAAATTAATTAAAAATACAAAAAAGTTTATTATACAACAAAACAAAAATATGAAGAAAAATTATACACATAAGACGAAAGAAGCATACCACATATGGGGAGGGGGTTCAATTGGGTAAAAAAGCCCAAATATCATAATGTACTTATACAAAAATCAAACACACACTCATAATTATGAAAAATTACTTTAAATACACCCTCAAAAACACAAAATATATAAGTAATAAAAAGCAACAAAAATTGTCGAGGATTAAAATCAAAATTAATATGATGTAGGTATATTGTTCGCATGCTTTTACTAAATAAATAAATAAATTTTTAGAAAAAAGAACAAATATAAAAAGATGGTCGATCATACCTTTTGTTTGTAAAATAGCACATTTCAATTTAACAAGTTAAATCTAGAATAACTCCGGCAATACGTCCGAAGACGGAAGAAAAAAAATCAATGAATAACTTTTAATAATTAAAATTACTATGGGGAAGAAAATTACCATGAAAATTTGCAAAAAAAACCGACTTAGAAAAACGATTCAATTCGATGGTGCCTATTCAATTACCGCAATTGTATATAGTTTTTCATGATAGAAGCAATTTCTGATCGACCAAGTTTTGTAAAATTGCTTTAGAACTTTACAAATTGCTAATTGACTTTCATACATATAGTATAGTGTGGAAAATTTTGCATTTTCGCAAAGTTGAACAACTTTGGCTACTTTGAACAGTGGTCGATGTAAAAAAATTTTATTCTATTGAGAATGAGACTATCTCTTATTTTATCTCTTTCGCTCTTGAATGATATAGAAGCTTTGTAAGAAGACACGGACAAACAGACAGATCAAAACTTTAAGGCAACCATTTGCAAACTTTTTTTAAAAATGTACAAAAAAAAAAGCAATGTAAGCATTTTTTTTCAAGGATATTTTTTTTTGTTATTTTTATTTAACATTTAAGTATAATGAAATTTTTTTTTCTATTCATTTATATTTATTTATTGTTGAATTAAACGTGTATATAATCATTAAAATAATATTTAAACACATTTAAAAATTATATGGTAACATTGTAAATAAGTAGATACACAGAAAATCGCATACAATAACACATACACCAAATTCTAATGAAACACACATTAATAATCTCTCATATATGTACATATGTAAGTAGAAGTACGTATAAATTTCACAAAAATTTCATTTATTTTTGATTTATTTGAATTTTATTTAAATATTTTTTTTACACTGGTTTTTAATCTTTTTGAACAAAGTGAAATATAAAACACAAAAAAATTCATAAGAATTTTAGGCTTTTTATATGCTGGCACATTCAAATAAACAAAAATTTGTGGAAATAAATGAATTTTTGAATGAATTTCTATGAAACAATAGAAAATTGGTTTCGGGACGGAAATTATTAATTTAAGTTTTTGGGGCATTATGTTTGATGATTCAAATTGATTCATACTTTTTGGAGTCCTGATCATATATAAAACAGGAATAGAAACTTTTTGAATCGCTCAATATTTTCGAAATCACTACAGTTTAATTTGCATTAAATAATTTGTTAGAATATTCCATACTTTTAGGCTAACAAAATCAAATCATCTATTAATAATATGAAAAATTTTTAAATCACAAAATCTTTGCGAAGAATATTTTGTTGCCCAAAATTAATCTGCCAAAACAAAATTTAATATTTTAATTTTTATACAATTTCTAATTTTATATAATGTAATTTAAAGTCACATTGTATTTAAGGTTTACACATACATATATGAGTACAACCATTTCTACCTTATATTTAAAAATTAAGGATAGGCGAATTCAGCGTTTTTCTATTATTATATTTATTTTTCTTTGGTTCTATACTTTTGTTTTTTTTTTATTAAAATATATAAGAGGATTTAATTTAATAATAAATTTTTGTTATAAATGCCTATGCATATTGTGTACATGTGTGTATATTATGTATAAATTTTATTACTCAATGTATGTTTATAAATTTACAACGATAAAGCTCTTAAAAAATATTATAGCATGTATAAATGTATGTATTTTTTAATATAGTTGAAGCGTGAGTGAACAAAAGAAAAGGATTTTTTTATATAATCGGGTTTCCAATATTTTTGGTTATTATTACTTTTTATTTTTTTATACCTTTTCAAAAGAAAATACTCTTGTTATAGTAGACATACTTTGTTAATGTACTTATATCACATAATATGCTTTCATCTATATAGTAATTTGCTTTCATTCAAAATATTTATTAAATATACTTTTGTTTTTCTCTTTATTTTTTTGTGTGTGAGAATGATTATGGGGCACATTCATTTGGAGGAAAATAATTTTTGAATAATTACTTAATAAGTATTGTGATTTATTTTTTATTAAATATTAAACTATGTGTATATAATTTATTTTAATAAATATTTTATTTTATAGAAACCATAACAAATTAATCTTGAAATATTTGAAATTTGTA